CCAGCCATGCCCTTCCTGGATTACAGCAGGATTACTGATTTTGGTAAGAACCAATTCAATAATATGATCAGAGAAATGTTGGAAGACCCCACCTTGACCACAACGCCAATAGCTGAAGATAGGCCCCACAAAAAGGGACAATTTTATACGGATGGATCCGGGTCTTCAGGTAGATGCACAGCACGTAGCAAAGCAGGATGGGGTTGGACAATTCAACAAGACGAGGGTTGGTACGAAGCGTACGGCCCGGTAGTCACAGACCCAGACCACAACGCATATAGGGGTGCGGGAGTAGGTTCTAATAACACAGGAGAAGTTTCGGCCATTATAGAGGCGCTTATGTACGCGTACAAGGAGGGCTACACAGAAGTTCATATAAAGTCCGATAGCCAATGGGCCATTAACGCCATAACCGGAAAGTGGAAGACAAAACACCATAAAGAAATGATCACGCTGGCGAAAAATATGACAAAATTGCCACAGTTCAAAGTTAAATTACACTGGGTGAAAGCCCACGCGGGCGTGGAAGGAAATGAAAGAGCGGACGCTCTAGCAAACAAGGGCCGACTCTCGGACACTAGAGTAGGCACGAGGGCGCCTCTTCCCGAGTTTAGCGATCAGGGCGCGCCGGCGGCGAACAGCACGGAGGAATGGCAAGCAGCACTTAAGGAGGCAGCAAAGCAAACATTCCACACTAAGACCACAACCCGCACGAGGCCATGGATCACGGATTCCACGTTAGCGGCGCTAGCAGCAGCACGACAAGCAGAGGCGGCCGGAGAAGAGGACGCTAAACGTTTGAGAAACGCGGCCAAAAGAAGCGCGCGTAAGGATAAAATAGCATGGGTTCACGAACAGCTGCTACAGGACCCACAGGGCAACAACCTTCATTTCTGGAAGATAGCAAAAAGGCAGAAAGCGGGCTTTAAGCCCAAGCGCAATCACCTCGTTGTTGATGGAAAACCAATCCCTTGGTCGCAATCACACCAGGCATTTCGGGATCACCTGCAAAACAAACAATGGAAGAACAAAACGGATGAGGCGAACATAACACACCTCAAAACTTTACACCCCATACATGCAGAAAAGGAGGACACCGAGCCCTTTAGTATGAACGAATTAGACGCGGCTTTAAATAAGCTACGGAAGCAAAAGGCCCCCGGCCCAGACCACAATGCAAATGAGCTCTTCATGATTCTTGACGAGGGGAACAAACAAATTCTGCTATCATATTACAATGACGTATGGGTAAGTGGCAGAGCTCCGGCGGCCTGGAAAGAAGCCTTGGTCATCTCGATCTTCAAAGGGAAAGGTAGTGACACAGATCCGGGAAACTACCGACCCATTTCATTCCTTAACGCGATCTATAAAATTTTTGCGGCCATGCTACAAGCGAGGCTAGCAAGCCTCCATGAACAAGACCTCCGTACCACACAGTACGGGTTCCGGGGGAAATAGGGGTACGAAACATCCGTTGTTTATATTGCGTCGAGCCATGGAGTGGTCGGATGCCACGTCCACTCCACTTCATCTGCTATTTTTAGATTGGAAGCAGGCCTTCGACTCTATTGACCACAACGCCATGTTGATAGCACTGCAGCGGTTCGGACTGTCCAAGAGAGCCCTTAATATAATTACTTCACTATACACTAATGCGACCTTCTTCACTAAAAATCTGGTAGGCTCTGACACAACAGGAGTGGTAGGTTCAGGCATTAGACAAGGTTGTCCGCTCAGTCCGTATTTGTTCATAATGGTCTTAACAGTTCTATTGGATGATGTAGATTGGAAACTGCTTTCGGGCGGCATAGCTACCAACACCTGGTCGGTACTCCGGCCAGTATATGACTTA